GGTGTTTAGAGCCCACAAATTTACCATCAAATGCTTCAGTTCGTTAACCCGTTGAAAAATTAAAATGATTTCTATTTTTTCAAAGCCATTTTAATGACGAGTATACAACAACGGCATGACGCGTGTACTTTTCTACTCATGTACGAAGTTACTTCCGGAATTAAATAATACCTTGTTACCAGTAAAAAGAGTCTCTACTCCTTCTAAAGCACCTCTCCTGTTCACTAAATTACTATTCAAAACAGCAGCTTATGTTACTTTTTAACAATGTTATTCTATAAGATAACAGGTGCAGACACTATCTCGATAATTATTTGATGATAAATTTCTGTTTAAGAGGTTGAGAGACAAGTTTTTCAGATATAATTCTCAGCTGTAACTGTTGCAGGCTGATGATGGTGGTGATTATAAGACACGAGTGTTATTATATTGTCCCACTGAAGACATAAATAATTATTATAGGCTTTCCGCATATGCTTACAAAATGTAAATTACCCTAAGCAACCAAAGTTGTATTTGAAGGTAATATAATCTTGGGGTCCACAGTTACAGGAAGCTAGTCGTAAACTTTTTGCAGGTGCTAATTCTTTGAGAAGACTTCAAAACTTTTATCAACTGCCACTGAGATTGCGCTTCCGCAAACTCTTCTGCTTCCAATTCTCAATTATGCAGCTGTCAGCTATCTTGATCTTACTGAAATGCAACTTGCTAAACTTAAGCGACTTCAAAATGTTTGTATAAGATTTTTATTTGGTTTGCGTAAATATGATCATGTGTCAGATTTTCGTCACAGGCTTAAGTTTATAACATTCTTTTTAATCCCTACTATCCTATTTACCTAAAAATCGGTTTGAATTCCTCCATGACTCGAATTTGAGATCAATAGAAAATATGATATTAAAAATGCCAGCTTACACTATCAAATTTTTGTACAGATCATTCACAATACAAGCTGTATGATTATGGAATGACTTGCCGATATCAGCAAGACGTGCTCATCCCTACCGGTTTTTAAGAAACGTGAAAACTATTTTCAACATTGATTCTATCAAATTTATATGTATATAATTATTCTACCTTTAACTAGTTACACTATTTTAACGTTATTTTTGTCGCCAAACCACACAAATGTTTTTATCGTTTTCTTGCGATAGTGTTCACCCAGAGGTTGTATAGAAGAAATCGCTCTTAGCGAAAAGACCGCCCATTGTAACACATTTCTTTCTCTCCTTTTTTGGCGTGCAATAAAGTGTTAGCTATCTATCTATAGGCATTGGTAGTTATACATTATCTTAGATAAATAGAAAAAGTGAGAACTAGGTACGCTTCAGATTTTTGTGATCGCAGAGGGCCAAAAAATGATAAAACTCCGTGGCACATTGGCTTAACTTTGAGTTGAGGTGGAAGGGCGAGCGGAGAGTTTGAATCCCGCACAAAACAAGTGTTTTATGGCTAACAAATATTTGCTCCTCGTCTGATTGTTTGTCCTTGTACAATTTATGTATGTAAACGATACATATATATTGCTTGTGTGCTAAAGAAACGGGTATTTTTTTTATAAAATGTTTAACGATATCTAAAATAGTATTCAAATTTCTCTGTATTGTTTCCTTAAAGATACCTTCGGTAAAGAATTATACTGATGAATTAAAATAATAAATTAAAGAGTGTCACTTTGTAAACATAAACGTCATCTTTATAAAGTTTTGTGTACATAAAGTGATTTTAGATAGAACATAAATATTCAAAACTTGATTATCAAAATGTCACGTGACAAATATTACAATAATGAGTTTGCTTTTAATACTTCTGACATTTCGTGTGACCCGATCGGTAAACATTCAACGTTTATTATAATATTATTCTTGTATAAACAGTAACAAAGTTTATTAAAGTGGAAGAGCTACGCTGCAGCTATATTATAATTTCAGCACGAGTTGGTCTGCTCGACCGGGGAAGGTCCACTCTCTCTTGCTGTTGTATCCGTATGGTGAGTGTAAAGAACCTAAGACCCTTTTCACTAGTAGCAAAGCATTATATCTTATAACTTAGTAATGACGCATCTTCATTTTGATTTTTAATAGAGGATAGATGTTGGTGTCTGTTGGCCACGTTTTCTACCTACTATCTGGTGGATTCTATGCTCATTGGTCATCGATATTTTATAAAAAATAAACATATACGTTACCATCAGGTAGAATGTGTGTTCGATTGACACACTTAACCCATATAAAAAAAACGTTATCGAAACACTCTCTCTGTCTATTTGCCTGTAAGTGATACCTAAATGCAAATATGAATTTGCGTTTGATTCAGTACAGAATAACTTTTTATATAGCCTACAAACAATTACATCCAACTTTAATGTTTATTTATGTACATTTTATATATCTACATATTCAAAATTAAGTCACGATATAGGAAACGTTCCAAGTGTAGTTAAATGGACTGTAAAAGGACTGGCAATGCAAAAACAAAACCTATCTCTCTCTCTCTCTCTCTATGTATATATATATATATATATATATATATATATATATATATATATAGAGAGACAGAGAGAGAGAGAGCAGAGACGGTGTAAGAGATATCCACTACTCCATATCGTCCGAAAGTACGTCGGGAGATGCTTGAAGACCACTAAGTCGAATTCGCCTGCGAAAACAGATATTGATGACGTTATGACGGCTCTGTCTTTGCGTCCACAAGCAAAACGCATTGAAGTCTATGACGCTATCAAATATTCGAAGTACTGCGTTACATAAAGAATAGCTCTGTATTAACACACGGAGCATTTGCCGCTTTTTGGGTTGAATACATTGCTCGGTGGGAAATTCCTCCTTCCCGGCAAAGTAAACCCACGAAAAACCCCCGGTCAGAGCTTTAAACGATTTACAGCATCACCTAAATAACGCTTCCTGTTTCTTCAAGCTACTCTCTGCGGTACAGATTTTGGCAAGGCTTGAGTCTTACTGCTCACCTATTTTTCAAGGCACTCTCATAGGCTCGACTCATCACAGACTGCAAGGCAATCACTGGCACTTGTACATTTTACGACAACAGAAAAAAAACATAAAAGTGTCCAACGAGAGGAAATGTAAGTTTGCAAAATGAATAATTTTATGATAAGTAAGTAAATATGAAAAAAATTAACAAATTTATTAAGTAAAATGGAAAACTTGCTGGTTTGAAATTCTTAAAAATCCCTTCATGAAATTAAAGAATATTTTCGTCAGTTCAATCTGATTAAATATTCAATGAAATGTTCTGTATATATATGTAACGAACTTTACGATTTTACGGTCCTTCCCATCGAGCTTACAACCTCGGCCTCTTATTTTTTTCCTGAGAGATTTATGCAAACATACAAGAGTTCTTATATCAAATCCCTTAGGACTTAATCTTCGACCATTACAAGCCTTCACCCCTTCACTAGTCGGCTATTCATTTTTGATAACAATTTGCTGAGACTCCTCTTTTATACTGCGCTTTGAATTATTAGAACAAGATCTCCTCGACAAGTTGTCAGCATTGCTGTGGATTTTTCAATCACTTTGCTGTCCCTTTACTTTACAACTCATTTTACACAGAACTCCTTCTTAACTTGAGCTGGTACTTTAGCTTTTACAGGATTCCCCGACCCTGGTACTAGTGCAAGGTCCCTTGAATAGTAAGCTTTATTTGGGCTAAATTCTCTGAAAACCACTTCATAACTAGGAAATTTAAGTAATCCTTGGCCGATATCTATAATGGACCACTTATTCTTTAAGAAATCCGGTCCTAAGATTTCGTCCCTCGTTGATACTGACAATCAGTACATGGTTAAAATACATCCATTCACCAATCATAATTTCAACATCCGTATTGCCAAATACTGGTACCAGTTGGCCAGTAACTGTACGCAGCTGAAATGGTGATTGCTGCTTACACGATATGGTTCGCTTCAGTAGTTCCGGTCTTGAGATTGTATGCAATTCTCCAGTGTCATTTACATATCGGCAGAATTCTCGTTTAAAGTACCTTTGATAGTAAGTCGGTTTCGATTGAATGCTTGGCAGACCGTAATGGTCGAGGTTTTCGTTTGTGAATCGCCTGCGCCTTGACCGGCCCCTCCTCAACTTACATCCCTGGGTGTGTTAACCACTTTTTCTAATCGTTCGGACAATCGAGCCTGATGTACCCCTTTTTACCACACACGTAGCATGCCGGATCAAAACAAAGGTTATTTTCTTCTGTTTACAATTTCCTTACTTGGTAAGCCGTATGTATCGCGTCGCATTGCTTCCACTGATAATGAATGTGCCAGTGCGCTCTTTAGGGATTGATGGTGGTCTAGTCATACTGCTGCTCAAATTACGAGCTCCCAAGTGCTGTTTCACAAACGCTTGAAATAGGGTCACTTCAATAATAGACGCTGCTGATACATAGTTGCGACGAACCAGTCTTTTTATACTTGTGAATGAGTGGAATGCCACAAAGCAGTGTCCTGAGCCACCTACATTCATCGACTTCCTGCATGCCTTACCCGGTTGTCGCCACATCTAGTGGTCACCTTAAACTTTGCTTACCGGTCCGAGGCTGCCGCACGAGAACCTTTCTTCGCCATCGATTGTCGGTTCTTCAAGCTATATGGCCGGCCCTTTACCACTTCAACTTACTAATCCATTGGGTTATGTCAGTTACTCTGATTCTACTGCGGATACCCTCATTTCTGAGTTTATCAACCAAACAAACTCCGAGCATAGCGGATGGCCGCAGCTCGCTGAGCGACCTTGAGCTTCCTCGTACGCCCAGCAGTGAAGGACCACGTCTCAGATCCATAAGTCATCACTGGCAATACGCACTGGTTGTACAATCTTGTTAAACTGTTCAATATTTTGTAATTTTTTATATAAATTGTTATGAACATTGATACGCAATAAGCGAATTTTCTTTTGCTCAAAACTAAAAGCAAATTAAACAAGATCATCAGTATAACCGAAAAACCTTCTCAGCTAATCATGATAGTGTTGGAAACTGAAGTCACGTCTTTAAGTAAGAACTTCACATTGTATTTGGCAACGTAGCACGTAATGGTTTTTAACACATGACTACTAACCCTTTTCATTGCTGAAATGGAAACATTACTAGCCCGATTTAGTTAAAATAAGTTTATGACAAAATTACTATCATCATTTGTTTAATTTTAATAATCTATCAAATGCCTAGAAAACTATTTGCAAGAATAAAATCTTTCTAAAGATTAAATTAAGAAAGACAATTGTTTGAAATGTAGTTAAGAAACTAATGGTCAAAAAAGTCCAATTCTGAACATAGGCCTTCGCCATAGCTTACATGATAGGGGTTGTTTTTTAAAGTTGGCAATCACAGTTTTTTTATTAAACTGTTGTCAGAAAGATGTTGTTGCCCATCTCTTGTTTTAGTTTCCTTCTATCGGTACCCATGGGATAATATGGGGTATTCTTACACCGCCGCGACACTGTTAACAACAACCTAAATAATACAAACCGCGTCCTTGCGCGTGTGTGTGTATAATTAAGAAACAAAAAAAAATTGATCTTAGATTTCATGCATCCAATATAAACTTTAATACTTGATTGATCAATAAGTTTTCGAAAACGCAATGAAACTCTAGGATAATATAGCGGAAATGTATTTATTTTTCAACTTAATCGCCTTCTAAGCTAATACACCTTGAATAGCATTTGCAAGTTGGTTAATTCCCTTGAAAAGAAGGCTTGAGCATGGGACTCGAAAAAAGACCCCTACAGCACGCATCACCACATCGTCACCGTCAAATTTTTAGAACGCAAGTGGTTTCTCAGGTGGTAAAAAGATGAAAATAATCAACTGCAACTCAACAGTTCGGATGACAGTGCCCACCACATCAGATTGCCTCACCATGATGAAAAAGCACTCCAGCACCCAATTTTCATCGACGTTTATTTTTTGAGTTCTTCGCGTAGTTTTCAAGTGATTAAAGTTCGGAAAAACAACTATGGAATTCGAAATGTTAAACAATATTTTAGTATATAATTAGTCCAGCCAACTAAACTCATCATACAATATTTATTAATTATTTAGTATTTTTCAAGAATCCTAGTAACTGTACTCTATCCTTTAAAGAGAAAAGTAAGTATTTGTGATAAAAGATAAAATTCTTGATATGAAAACATCAAATAAACTCACTAATCACTGAGATGTCATAAAAAAAACGAACTTTTGAAATACCTTATCTATAATTGAAAAGTTCATAAGACTGTTGAAAATACCAAAAAAATATTTCAGACAGGATGATAATGGGTCTCCGTTTATCTTAAAGGATCTGATTACTGTCATATTGTTAATTTTGGCTTTCAATTCGTCTTGAAATTAATATATTTTCTTCTTTTGTTTTGTTTGTTCGAAAAGACATTTAGATTAAAGATAATATAGTAATACTATAAGGATTTCATTAATTACATTAATAAAAGTCAAAAAAATTTACTACCAAAAGGAAACAATATGGTGGACAATGAGTTTTGTGAATAATCTTATTTTTAAGAATAAAGATGAAAAACAGGCATATAGCCCACTTGATGGTAAGTTTATTATGTGGCCCATCGCTACCTTTTTTTTTTTGCGGATGGAAAATCATCTAATGACGCCTTTCGCTCTGGGTGGAGCGTAAGGGAGTGTCAGACTTTTTACTGACTAAAAACCATCCGTGTTCCTTCAGTGCCCTTACGTTCCGGAGCCGCGGTATCTCTTTCGAACAGCCCGCAGCCCCGGCAGGCGTAGGCCCTTGCGGGCCCCTTCACGCTGCTGACATCTCTTTGAGGCGCGCGTGGAACAAAACGCGCCGTCGACACGGCCTGTCGTCGTTAGACGGACGGACGGCGAGCTACCCATTGCTCGCCGTCCACAGGCCCGCGCATACGGTGGCCGGGGGCCACGACGTAGCCCCCGACGCCCGGGGCGTCTCCCGCGGCGGCCGGGGAGGAAAGCTGCTGCTCTCTCCTTCTCCCGCTCCGCCACCTCTTTCGCTAGCATCACTGCTTCGCAGAAGGTGAGGCAAAGAGGGGTCTTATCGCCGCTATAGTGGCGTGCCCAGCACGGGGTTGCGACAGTCGCTGTCTCCATGTCGCCATGAGATCGTGCCGGAAGTCTGTCCGCTGCGCGACAACTTGCCGCGGCAGCGGGGTTTCCCCACGGCACAGTGCCTCCGCGCGCCATTCGTGCAGGCGCGCGAGGACTATCGCCTCCAGATCCCACGGCGGCAATCCGGCAAGGAGGCTCGCCGCCTCGCGGGAGATCGTGCGGTAGCCGCGAACCATTTTCACGGCAATCACCCTTTGGGGCGCGTTGGTGGTGGACGGCAAGCCGCGCCAAACCACGCGCCCACACCGGGGCCCCGTAAAGGGCCATGGACCGCACGATCCCCGCGTAGAGTCTCCGGCAGGAGGCGTTTGGCCCTCCCAGGTTCGGCAGGAGCCGCCTGAAGGCAGCCCCGGTCCGTTCCAGTTTGGGAGCCAAACGTCGGAAGTGCTCAACGAAGTTCCATCGGCCGTCGAGGACGAGTCCTAGGTACTTCAGCGTCGACTCGACGCCAATGGATACCCCTCCTACCATCACTGAGGATCCTGGTGGTGGCCTGTTCCGAGGACCATGGAAGTGCATGGCCTCGGACTTGTGCAGAGCCACCTCGGGACCCAGTTGCCGAATCCTCTCAACGACTATCGCAACCCCGCGTGTCATAGTTTCCGCCGCCGCCTCGTAGGACCCTCCTTGTGCCAGTACCAGTGTGTCGTCAGCGTAGCAAACTACGCTGACGCCGGTAGGGAGGTCGGCGCGCAGCACCCAGTCGTAACCGATGTTCCACAGAGGTGGCCCCAGAACCGAACCCTGTGGGACACCGCACGACATCTCTCGCCGGTTCCACTCACCGTTGCGACCGGGGTAGATGACGGCCCTGTCCGTCAGGTAGTCCCCGACTATATGACGGAGATAGGTCGGCACCCGGTGATACCGGAGTGCCTCCCTAATGCAACTCCAGGGCATGGAGTTGAAGGCGTTGGCGATGTTGAGAGACACCGCCAAGACCACCCCCCTCTGGCCACTGCATCCCCCGTCGTGAGGGCTCTCACGCGCATGATGGCGTCCACCGTGGAGCGCCTCTTGCGGAAAACAAACTGGTGTTCCGCAAGATCCGGCCCCGTCCCCGCAAGGTGCTCGGCGAGGCGGTTTGCAATGACTCTTTCAAAGAGCTTGCCCACCTCGTCGAACAGCACCACGGGCCGGTATGCGGACGAAGAGTCCGCAGGGCGCCCCGGCTTCCGAATGAGGACCAGCTTCCCCGTCTTTCAACGAAGCGGGAATTGGCCTCTCTCAGCATGCGCTTAGGAGCCCCTCCAGTCGGGGCCCGAGAGCCTCCGAGGCCAGGACCCAGGCTTTACCAGGCAAGCCATCGGGTCCTGGGGCGGTATTCCTGGCCTTGAGCCTACGAACCGCCACTCTCAGGCCTACCCCGGTCCCTTCCAGGATGTCGTCGTCGTCGTCCTGGTGGTCCGCTTCCGGCACCGCAGGTGGCGGAGCCATAGGCGGGGGCGGATGTTCCCCTCGCGCGGGGAACAGAGCGCTCACCACGTCCTCCACGAGCTGGGGCCGGAGGCTTTGCGTCAGCGGGGGGCCAGGTGCGGAGTTTATCCCGCACCATCTTGTAGGGGCGCCCCCACGGATCTCTGTTGAGAGTCTCCAGTATCTCCTCACGGGCCCGATCCCAGGCCCGCAGGACAGCCTTTCGGAGGGCGGTCTTCGCCGCTCTGTATCCCTCGTACAGCTCCGCCTCAATGGCTGCCGCATTCGGTGGACGAATGCGGAGCCTGCGATGCCTGGCGTACAGGTGCCGCGCGGCGACACACGCCTCGCGCAGGGACGTCAGCTCACGCGACCACCAATACACCTGACGCCGGGCGCTTCCTGGCCGGACGCGGGGCATTGCCACGTCACATATCTCGGACATGGCCTCCTGGAACCACCCTGCCTCATCATTGACGTCGGCAGGCCTGTCCGGTGATGACACCCAGGCCTGCACGATCGAGGCTTCCAGGAGGAGCTCCCGGTCCAGCTGCTTCAGCGCTCAACGCGGACCACTCGGGGCCTGTTGGACTGGCGCGCTCGAGGGCTGGGTGGAGACATCAAACCGGATGTACCGGTGGTCGGAGTAGGTCTCCACCCCCTCAATGACACGCCAGTCAATGGCACGCGGCGACAGAGCGGGGCTAGCGAACGAGATGTCCACCACCGACTCGCCCCGCATCCGCACACACGTGGGGACAGAACCCCGATTTAGGACGACTAGGCCTGTCTCCAGAGCCCAGTCTTCCACCATCGCATCCCGCACATCTGTACGACGAGAACCCCAAGCCAAGTTCTTGTCATTGAAGTCCCCGAGGACAAGTACGGGGAGGGGATAACTTCCGACGACGACTGCTCTCAGCTCTGCAAGAGAGTTGTGGAGCTCGGCGAGAGATCGGTTCGGGGAGAAGTACACCCCCACAACGACGAACTCCCCCGAACCGTGCTGCTACGCACCCCTGACCCCTCCTGACACCTTCAAGGGTCGGGGTACCGGCGGCGGCCGAAGAGATGATGGCCACTGAGCCGTTGAGATCTGCCACCCAGTCCTCCCTAGGCCAGACAAAATATGGCTCAGTGACCACAGCGATGTTAATCGACCACTGCGCCATGCTCTGGAGCAACAGATCCTGAGCGCTGGCGCAGTGGTTGATATTCGCCTGGAGGAAGCTTAATGGGGCCGTTATAGGCATTCCATTTCAGCTTCCTCCACGAGGGGCCCCTCTGCGGGCGTCGGTGTCGCGGCGGCGGCGGCGGCGACAGTGACAGCGGTGGCAGTGGCAGTTGCGGCTGCGGCGGAGGCCACAGAGGCGGTGGCGGCTTTGGCCCCTACCCTACCCGCGGCCTTGGCCTTGGCGGGTGGCACGCAGGCCTTGCTTCCGGCCCGGTGATCGGCTGGGCCCATCGCTACCTAGATCTATCCTCGATTAATAATCGAAAAAAAATTTGCTGAATAAGATGAAATACTTCGTTACTAGTAAAAAGGGTCTTCGGTTCTTTACATTCACTATATGAGACACAGTAGCATCAAGGTGCTATTCTAAGCTGGTATTCTGTGATACCATGATTCTTTCCGCTTTAAGACGACTCATTCGGAGCTGCTACCACCTTAAATTCGTTACTTCCTATACGTGTCACCGGGTCTTCATCCTATTGGATGAAACGTTAAATTACATTGAGCTTGTCAGCTGCAAGACTGCACAAAATATTTCAAGGCCATGTTTTCAAAAAGAAGGTTTATGTACTACGCCATACCGGCATGTTTTATATGGTTAGGGACGAGAGTTGGGGGGACATTTTTATTTGAAACGAGATATTCATTCCATTTCATTCTTCAGACGTGGCAAACATTTTCATCATCAAGGTGGATTTTCATATTTGCCTCAATTTCCACGATTGGCTGGTGGGGTTGTAACTGTAGTTATGTATTATTGAATTGCTTTTAGAACGATGTTACTTACCATTTCCTGCTTTATTTTTCTTCTGATGCCTCTTACAACACCTAAGGGGCGTATGTGGGCATTATAAAGAATATATTTTTATTTTTATTTAAAAGGCTTAAAAGGATATTTCTCTTTTATTTCAATTAACACTAAGGCAAAGTGAGTTTTGGAGCGGAGAGTACCTACTCGTATGTCTCGCGACGTCGCTGTCATCCTTTTAGGTCCTTAGGTAAAATTAATATAAAGGCGTTATTTTAAATTCCAAGCATACCACTCTTAAGGCTTTCTCTCATTATATAGAGAGTAATAAATTGAGAAGATTGACGAACATAGGAGTTTTTTCGAAAGTTTACTTTTCACCGCTAAACATGTCACGTATGGTGATACGTTTAGCGGTGAAAAGTACTAAGAGATAGCACTCTATATCTGCCTTGAAGTCTTCCTGGATAGATACTACCTTCTTACCTATTACTAACTTAAAATAGCAGCACTTGCACTACTGTGTTCCGGTCTGAAGGAAGTATATAAAGCCTGGATAATTACAAGCTAAGAGATATTCTACCTTAGGCCTCAGAGGTAACTCATTTGTAGCTTGCTTTATTTGAAATTGGCTGGAGTTTGCAGGCAGCTCATGAAATATAGTAGCCGATTGCATGTGTCATTTCATCTCATTAAAGAGATCAGTGCATGAAAGTGTAAATGAACATTTTCAGTGATACCGGCGGCGATCGAACTAAGGCACTCGTGTTTTTTATAGTATATATAATATATGGGTGACAAAGAACACACAATGCACCAGATGGTAAGTGGATGCTGTGAGCCATAGACATCTACATCTAACCTCAATTAATAATCAAAATGTGGATACGTTTTCAGCCCTGAGGACTAAGATAAGAACTTTTTCAGTAAAAATGATCTCCGATTCTCTACACTCACCATACGAAACAAAGCAACATTAAGCTGCTGTTTTTTGTAATAGAAGTACGCGTGGTAGGTTCATGCAGCAGCTATATTATCGTTGTAGTATGAATGGGTCGGCTCGATCGTGAAAGGATCATGCTCTCACTGAATTCCGAAGTAAAATATCGGCTCAATTCAAATAAAATCTGCTGTGTTTTGGATGTTGAATGTAGAGAACCGAAACCACTTTTTACTAGAGGCGGGGGATTCCATTTTAGTCCCAAGAGTCTGTTACGCACAGCATCTATCTGCAATCAGGTAGACTATATGTTAATTTTTCATTCTTTATGTATAAAAAAGTAATAATTTACTTTTAATAGTTATTTTAAAAAATAATACACACTTTCCTATGGTAGTAAAGAAACATTTCAAATTTAAAAATAAATGAGAAACAAAAGTATATAATAAAAGTAGTGATTTAATTTTATGTTAACAAATAAATATTTTCCATTTATTACTACGATAATGTGACTTGCCTTAAAATGCAACTTGTTATAATTTCGCTTACTTTTTTACGTGCGTTGTGTTTAGAAGACGAAAATTATGATTATGCTTCTCCTGGTTTAGTTGTCGCTAGCATTAAAAGAAGGGATATAATTCCTCTTCAGCCAGGAAATATAAGATGGATTAACGGTAATAATTTAAACTATAGAAGAACAAAGGACATACGAAAAGACATCATTGATCGACGCTTTGAGGTATGCTTGGACCTTGAAATCTTCATCAGATCGTAACAGTTATTTGCTGGATATTGGCTCTTTGTGATTTAGATGAGTTTGTCATATTTGCCATGCGTGGCAGATGGATTGACGATCGTAGTGCCAGACGTCTTACACTTTTTAAATGGCTTCCCTTTGCAGGTTTGATTATTTTGTATCAAGCGTATAAACAGGTGAAGCATTCCCCGTGGCCTCCATCGACACGGAATTTGTCATAATTGTAAATATGATACGATTAATTTAATTTATAGTTGGAGGATTCTCTTTATGTATAGGAGCCCGTATGGGTACCTTCTTCTTACCTATTTCTGCGCCAAACTGCTGTATTTCCGATCTAAAGGGTACAAAAGAGCATTATATAACATTATGCTGCTGATATTATATATTCTATCTTAGTCCTTAATGATAACTACTTATATTAAAGTATTCATTTATTTTTTCCAGATAGTCATCATCATCATCATAATAACAGTCTCAAACAATTCCCTGCTAAACAGGCCTCCACTAAAGGATGCCACAAAGAACGATCCTAAGCCACGTGGATCCGTCGACCTTTTTTAATTGAATTAGGGTGACAAACGAGCGTACAGCCTACCTATTGGTATCCACTTACCAATGTCTTTGGCTCATAGACATCTACATCTATCCTCAATTAAGAATCTAAATGTAAATGAATTTTCACCTCTGAGGACAAGATAAAGAAGTTTCCAGTAAAAGGGGTCTCCGGTTCTCTACACACACCATACGAAACACACCTGGATTGCGCTGCTCTTTTACGCTGGTATGTTGTGAGAGGGTAGTCCTTCTCAGGGTGAGACGACCCATGGATGCTACAATTATAATATAGTTGCATCACGGCTCTACCACGTATAAAATTTCCTTGATGTTTCACCAGGTCGTCACTTCATCTAGTACGGGCCCACAGGTACGAAGCTACCACTCGATAACTTTGCTTCCCCATTAGTTACTGGTACTTCGAGCTATACGGCCGATTACTTCTTTGTTACTCTGGTTCTATTGCGGATAAACCTCATTTCTAAGTAGTTTATCGGGCAGAGAAACTCCGGGCATAGACCTTGAGCTTCGGATCCATAAGTCATCATTGGCAACACGCACTGGTTGTACAATCTTTTTTCAAGTTTTAAGGTATACCTGACAAGACGTGTCGCAATCTTTGTTTACAGATTTCAGAAGCGCAATTAAGAGAAGCACAAAGATTATCTGAAATTAATGAAATAAGAGAAGATGAAATAAAGTCTGCGCAACGACGGGAAGAACAGATCAGAAACAGCATGCAATTGAGGGAAAATTCAGTTGGAAATAGAAGAGAAAATCAATTGGAATTTAATTACAATAATCGGAATTCAAAATACGGCGAAAATAAAGATCAATTAGATAAATTACATCGCGAGATGAGATGGCTTACAATAGATGCTGACGATGGATTTGGCATTGGAATACAATAACTTTATTCTTAAGGTTTATTAATAATATTAATCAAATAAACTTGTTTTCAGATTTAAAAAATCATTTTTTTTATTAACTGATAATTTAATATTTGCTATAAATAATCTTTAGCATTAACAATACACTTGTCAATAAATTACACGCTAATGTTTTTATTTAATGCGATTGGTTTTATAATATTATAATACTAATTTGTGCGGGTGGGCTATATAATTTGGCATCATGTAACATTGTTTTTTTTTTCATAGGAGAGGAGGCAAACGAGTATACGGCTCACCTGATGGTAAGTGATTACCGCCGCACTTGCACAAATGTACCCTATCCGTTTAAAGCCAAATACTGTAAGACTAGTGCACCCAAAAAAGAAACACCCGGTATGCACATGTTAAAATCATCAGAAATTATGTATGTAAAGAAATATTTCATATTACAAAGTTATACTAGGCGATTTTTATTTAGATTTTTTTAGAAAATAAGTCCTATTTTAAAAAGCGAAAGCATCTGGTTTTGAAATAAGTAAAGATTTGTGGCTACAGTAGTGAAAAGACTGTTACAGGATGTGAATTTTTTCGTTTTTTTTAAATGCCTATGATTTTAAAAACATGCAACTTGGTTTTTTTTTAATTTTTTCTGACAACCAGCATGACTTATCTTTTCACCCCGTTCTGGGTTGACTTCAAGCTTCCTCAGTTCCTCTCTGTATATATACGTCTAATAATAAAAATAAATCAAATTATATATATTATGTATATATATATATATATATATATATATATATATATATATATATATATATATATATATATATATATAATTTAACTAAAATCAAGTTGTAAAACAAAAACATATTCAATTATTACTTAGAAAATTCATTTGGAAATTGTCACTGCTAGGCTTCCTGTTATATGACTATATTTATTATTATTAAGTGTTTTACATTTATATCTTTTATATACTAAATTAATTCTAGTTTTCATCAATTTATTGGAGCAACGGTAGTTATAGCGTCATTGCTAATGGTATTGGTTGACTCTTGAGATGAGTTGAACTGGAACATCACAAGTTCATAGGTGACTATGGTTCCAGCGACCTGAAATAAAAGAATATATATTATATAAAATTCAAGAAATGTATAATTAGCTGGCGATGGTTTGCGCGACGGTAAAGATCCTAGTCGTATTGTTTCCGAATAATTATCTAACTGACCTTTTATGTAACGATCTCTATACTAAGTATTATAAATTTATTATGTGTTTACATACATGTTTCTATAAATATATGTCATCTCCAATTCAGTTACAATTTGCGATATGATAGTAAAATCAAAAATATTGATAAATAAAATAATAAAATTAATAAAAATAAGCGAATCATTTACCAAAAAACCGACATCAAAAAAAGGAGGAAGTATTTAATTGGACAGTATTTTTTTGTGTGTTTACGAAACATCTTTCTAAGAGAACGGATTCTTTTTTAATTGAAAGCTAATGTTTTTTTCATGAAATCCTATACAAATTTGATCAAGATCTGACTAGTAGTTTTTGAGTTATAATTAGTGATGCGTATTTAATTGACTTCAACTACATTGATGTTCTTATCTTATTTATATTGAAGTTGATTGTATAATTTTTTTAATTATACCATTTGTTTGCTATTGTATCGAAATATATGAGCGATATAGGTTTCCATTAAAATTGAAGATCTATTCACCTTATCTTTGAACACCCATCATTTTGTTGTAAAATGATGTTAAAATAAAAAAAATGTTAAAATATATTTTAAATCAAAACAATAAGAGATAAAGAATAAATCGCTCGAACATTTTTTGTATAAAATTGCAAACTAAAACCGTATATCTTATGAACCATTGAACAATAATATATATTTTGCTTAGATAGTAACTTTCGACATATTCGAAAAAATTCAGAATTTCGAGAAAATGATAGCAAATCAAATTAAATCATTTCACTACCCTGAGTGTAATATTTACCCTATTTACTGAAAAAGAGGCATTACATCTTAGTCCTCACGGGTGACAACGCATCTGCATTTGAATCGTAATCGAGGATAGATGTAGATGTCTATGGGCCACGGCAACCACTTACCATCAGGTGGACATGAGGTGGAACTGTGTGCTCGTTTGTCACCCTGTCCTATAAAAAAAACTTTTCGATTGTGTAATCGTAAATAATTAAAAGTAAGTGTTTTTTTCAAAGTAAATCATACTCGTTTAAATATGAAAGCGTAACCCTGCTGAGATAAATGTCTATAGAAACCTAAATACCTAAAGAATAGAAGAGACTAATTTGAATGTTTGTATATTTATATGTAAGAAAAAAAGTTATATCAAAGAATTGTTAAATAATTATAATTTAATAAAAACTTACAGTTAATAGTAAACTTCGAGTAACACTGAAGAATTGCAGTCCACTTAAAGCAACTTTATTACCGTGAACCTGATCTAAAAACCTCTGCACCTACAATACAAATTATAATTGAAAAAAATTAACTAGCAAATGTAAAGACCTCTCGCTGGTGGTTACATCCCTCGTCCTATTTCTAAAAGGTATTTGGAGCAGGGAAGCTGCTATTTCGACAACAATTTTTTTTTATATTTGGTTACAATATGACATCAAAGTTTTCTCGAAGTAATTGTAATTTTTATTGTCTTATAGTGCCCGGCAAGCATTGCAATTTTTTTGTCAGATATCTTCGTAGACGCGCTTACAACAATTCATAACGAATTTAATTGTAATTAGATAGTTGTTAAATGAACGCATATAAGATGAACAAACAAAACAAAAAATATTCATTTTATATAATACAATATGCGAGTATCCTGAAGGTTGTATCCTTTACCGCCAAGCACGTCGTTTGAACTTAAAATGGCAATAGACAATGTCGATGGAATTAAGTTGTTAAAGCAGAGTGTCCAATACCGTGATCTTGGGTGCCGCGTAGCACTCGAAACGTACGCTTGGAACAAGTGAATTGAATGTGATTACAATCTTTAAAGCTTTTGCCGTATCGTGGCGTGGTGGAATCCAATACCCCATATTCTGTGAGCATCGTAAGAGGCAACGGAGAGAAATAAAGCAGTAGATGGGTAGCATCATATTCCCGTTGAAAAAAAAGTTTGGTTGTCAACACGCGTGCCGAGCGTAACAAACTATAGCAAATACCTGTTATCTGTTTTTTGCAGTGAACTTTTGTTGAGGAATGTATGTATGTAATGGTAAGCTTTTTAAAGGTTAATTTTACTTGATGTGCAGGACTCGCAGTGCTAACAATACATGTATAATTGTAGACAGAGAGGCACGAGGTCTGCAGAAGCAAAACAACGTGGCAGCTTTTGAATGGTTGTAGCACGAAAAATTCAGTTCGACCGTTGAAGTACTACGCTACTAATGTGTCCTTTAGTGTGCAGAAAACTGAAGACACTTATTACTAGCACCGGGGAATTTCATCTTAATCCCAGGGGTTACAATGCTTCTGTACTTTGTTTCCTAATTGAAGTTAACCACCAGGTGGACTGTGAGCTCGTTTTCATCCATGTTTTACGTTACTACCTATATAGTAATATTAACTTACTTCTAAGCAGTAAACTGGTGATGGTACATCATATAGAACAGAAGCAGGAACGGTAGATGCTGTGTTCACTTGTGACGCAATCAGTGATACAGCTACTGAACGCGTGATGAGATAAACCAGTGAAAAAAGGAAGTAGGCTGCTGCTTCGTAGCCACCCAGGATAGTCGTCCTATAAGAAAAAATAGTTGAGGTTCAAGGGAGACGGAAACTTATTGTCCAAATGCACGCCTACAAAACATACCTTGTTTAAGTTACAGCATATATATGTCTTAATGTTTGGCACATACCTCTTTTAGGTTTTGAGAGTTTTATAGAATTATTAGTCTGCCGCACTGCTGCAGTGCATGTTGACGGACTTCACATGTAGTTGTAATATTTTTATATTTCAGACAAACATGTAGATTTCGTGACGACGTTTTCCTTCACCGGCAAGCACGATGCGAAATCAACATTTAAAATTGCAATTAGCAATATCATTGCTATCTGCGAGTATCTAACCAGAATTACCAGCGTAGTGATAAATTCAGAGCGAGTAATTGGCTCCTGAGCTGCCGCGGTTCATACCTTGGTTACTAACTAACAAACCTCGGGCTGTCGAATGTGGCCTTAGAACCATTCTAAAAAACCGAGACAAAGTCCCACTCCAGAATTGTGTCCAGAATTGAGAAACATAACATATAACATAAACACTCACGCCTGTCACCCACAGTGGTAGGCAGAGATTACAGACTTCCATTTGGCACGATCTTAACACACCTCTCTCGCCTCGTCCACATCCATATACCTACGCATACATGCTCATTGGTTAAGGGTACTCCTAATTTGGCCCGTTTTCAATATATCGCTCATTTGGTCGATAAACTTTCGCCAAAGACGTCCCTTTCCAACTCTGCCGTTCACAAGAACAACATAAATTTGTTCTTGTGAACGGCAAAGTCCGGCAACATAAATTTATGTTGCTTGTGCAATTTTCTTTGTCACTCTTTCCTCATTCATTCTTTCCACATGACCAAACCACCGAAGCATTTCTTTCTTAATCCTGGTCACAACATCTCACAATTTCTCACCCTGTCATTCAGATTCAGCCCTAAGATAATTCAACCTTCCTTCTGCCACACCCAACTTTCACTACCATACGTTAAAGTAGGGACCAACACAGCATTGTGAATGTGTGCCATACGAGTTTTTTGACATATTTCGACTTTTTACCATAGAGTGTAGGGCCCCATTAACTCTGTTTCCTGCGCTATTATTAAGTCAATTATTTATTATACGAGTATGTACGTAAATATTCTTTTTGCACTCTAACTTTTAGCACTACACGTAAGTTGTTGCCAACTGTAACCTATATCCAGTATCAGAGAATTAAAAATACGTGTTTTTATAGAAAAGAAGGCAAACAAACATACGGTTCACTTGATGGTAAGTGTTGACCGTCACTCATGAACAACTACAATACAAGGGGAATTGCAGGTATGGTACCGGTCTTTTAAAAATATTTGAGCTCGTTTCTTGAAGGTTCCTAAGTCGTATCGGTCCGGAAAAATTGCCATTGGGAAGCAATTCCACAAAAAAGCATACGATAAAGAAAGCTCTTATTAATAACACAGTAGTGGATCGCCAAGTATGCAGATAATTTGGATGTTAGTTGAATATTGTCGCGATGTGTGTTGGTGAAATTGGGCGACTGAAATCAATCCGAACAATTCCTCAGAACATTTTTCGCGGTAAATGCTAAACTATGGGTGAGTCTGGATGAAACTCGGATTCAAATGCGCGATATAAATATATATACCAAAAGTTACGATAACGTGAAACATATGCTTTTTTAATGTAAGTATAAATTAAAGTAAGTTAACCTAAAAAATAAGTAGTCATAAATTTAATAAAATTACCATTAATGTTATGAGATGAAAGTACAAAATATATATTTACAATGCAACTTGCGCTTAATGCATTGAATAAAAGTGCAAGTTGAGATTTTTTACAAGAAATTACTTATTTTCCGAGATATATAAAACAAAAAATATGCCAAAAATTACTTTCCTTGTCGCACTGCTGCTGCATTCTCCAGTTCCTTTGATTCCGTTCCTGAATAAATAAATAATAATATCTCCTTATTTTGCAATGAAAACATTTGTTAAACATGTAATACGTGGCAGTGGGCCGGCTTAACCGAGGAAAGACCACGCTCTCACAGAATACTAGCGTAAAATATATTTCGTATGGTAAGTGCAGAGAGCAGAAAGGGGATATTTCATCTTAATCCTCAGAGGTGAAAACGAACCTCGATTAATCAAAATGCATCTGTATCTCGATTCTTATGATGTAGTAGATTATCTTACGTCGTCACTATACGACTGTCTTAAATATGGTATTATTATAATTTAAACCAAATGCATCAACTCCTTATTGATTTAAAAACGAAACCAATCACTCACTCCAAAGTATTAAACAGCTGCAGACAAATAAAAAACAGATTGTTAGCGAAGGAAATGAAGACAATTCCGCTGATTACGTCGTCGACTCTTCGAACCAGCTGTGTCGCTCTACCGTAATTTTCACGACTAGTTTTCCAAAATACCTCTGGCAAATACTGAAATCAAAGAGCTATTACTTAACTTAGGTAACTTAAACATTTCTATGTTTGTAAAACTTATAATAAAAAAAATACGTGTGGCACTCGGTGACTGCCACGGTAAAGCTATTGCATAGCATTTTTTATCAACTTATGCAATTATAATTATTTATTTATTTTATTTATGCAGTTAAGTCTTTGATATTAAATCAAGTTACACTTTTTGAGCGTGGTGACCGATAAGAAAACAATTTTTTTTCTCTTATTGAATAAATGAGAAGTTAATATTGTTTAAAATATTTTTAATATCTTACAATACATGTAGGTTATTCAGGAATTTTTATCATTGAGTTAGCAGCTAGTGTACACGCATACGTCTAGTCGCACGCACACAAACACCGTGCCGAACTTTGCCGAGTGCCGAAGTCTGCCGAACTGAAACGACGTTAGACGATGCACAGCTTTCAACGCCACACCTCCGTGCCCGTCGGAGTGGAGAGCGTGAGGTTGTTTTTCGTTACGGAATTTCTGGATTCGGTCCCCGAGCTCAAGGCCCGCGATAGAAGCTATGCAATAGCTTAATAATTTTAATAACATTTCGTCCTTACATCAAAACGTCTTTTTTTAATTAAATTGTCAACGACTAAGAAAAACTATAGATAGATCATTAGGTGCTATAGCGAATAGACACTTAAAAATGATTATATAAATTTAATAGAGTTGAGTGGTTATGTAGGTAAAAGCGAACAAACTAATTTCTTATCGAGGAATCTCAAGGAATATCCGCCACTGACCTACTGGTTATTTACACATAGACGCTCAACAGTCAAAAATCTATCCCGGCTATTTGTCAAATATCTATTGTCATTAACTGTCATCCATTGTGTTGATTCAATTCCCGCCATTTTTTGCCATTTTTGTAATACACTTTAATTACTATTATACTTCGCTTTTAGCACTAATGTTATTTTAATATATAAATTTAGATGAGAAAAACTTGATTATTATACTTTATTGTATAAACCATAACATTACACCCATATATTTAAATAAAACACGAAATTAAGTAAATAATTTCTACGGAGCAGTAAATACAAGTCCCAATAGCTGCAATATTTAAGAAATGACGCCATTTAGGAAAACTGTTGATAGGATAGTGTTCAAATTGGGAATCATAAATAATATCGTACCTTTCCTTGAGCCGCTAAAAGTTTTTTGTTGACATGTTCCAATCGGAAAGTCAAGTAGTAACTCATACAGATAACAAATAAGTCAGAAAAATTCCAAATGATCGTCGATTGAAAATGAAGAAACTGAAAAATAGCACAATTTAAATTAATCAAAGTGATGTAGTACAGTCAAAGCAATGTATTTGAAATTAATATTTTCGAGTACATCACTCAACAAATAGCCGTGTAGTGGCGGTTGAGAATATCCACTACCCCATATCTTCCCGTGGGTGTCGTAAGAGGCGACAGAGGGACACAGAAAGGAGATGGGCAGCAGCATCTTCCTAATAACAACAATAACATAATAAAAAACTGCGGTTGCCAACCCGCTCGCCAAGCGTGGCAACTATGGCAAATATCCCCCCATGAGCAACGACACAAATAAACGGCCCCCAGTCCCCGGCGGCCCCGCTATTCCTGGCTACGGTGGCGACAATGGTAACGGCGGGGCAGGGGGGTGCTAAGAATCTCCGGTGGAGGTTCGGTTGCCACCTACGACGACTCGACCTGGCAACGTATAACGCACGCACCCTGAGGACTGACAGAAAAGATACTGGAGCTGGAAGAAGAGGTAGACAAGTTGCGCTGGCATATTATTGGATTATCTGAGGTCCGAAGAGAGGGGGAGGACACGGTAATCCTCGAGTCCGGCAACTTGTCTATCACCGGGAGGGCGACCATCTGTCCCAAGGAGGTGTCGGATTTATCGTCCACAAGTCTCTCGTCAACAACGTTTTAAAGATTGGGAGTGTGTTGACGAGGGTCGCGAACCTGATACTCAGAATCACCAAACGGTATTCGCTGAAGGTTATACAGGTCTACGCACCAACCTCGGCACATCCCGATGAGGAGGTGGAGGAAATGTATGAGGATATTTCTAGAGCCATGCATTCCTCCAAAACCCACTACACGGTGTTGATGGAGACTTCAACGCAAAACTAGGCACAAGAGAAGGCGGTGAGCTGAAGTTAGGGAAATTTGAAGTAGGGCAACGGAACCGTAGGGGCCAGCAGTTGGCTGACTTTATGGAGAAAGAGGGAATCTTTATGATGAACTCTTTCTTCCAGAAGCGGCCCCACAGGAAGTGGACCTGGTCGAGCCCCGACGGTTCGACAAAAAATGAGATTGACTTCATTATGACGACCAGACGCCAACTGTTCAGTGATTTCTCAGTGATCGCAAGGGTTAAAACCGGCAGCGATCACCGAATGGTTAGAGGCACACTGAACCTAACCGTTAAGTTGGAGAGGTCTCGTCTGATGAAGTCAACGCTCCGTCCCCCTCGTGCTCTAATCCAGAATCCCGAGACTTTTCAGCTCGAGTTACGTAACCGCTTTCAGTGCCTAGAAGATTGCAATGCAGTGGACGATATGAATGACAAGCTCGTGGAAACTGTCCATGCGGTCGGAGCTAAGTTCTGCAAGACCCGCCGCAGAAGAACACAAAAACTCTCCGATCACACTCTTAATCTCATGGCTGTTAGACGGGAGATGAGGCTGCAATCGTCAACAGATTTGACAGCATACAGGCAACTGAACAGACAGATCTCCAAATGCATGCGGCAACACTTACGCAACTTTAATACTGCTCGTATTAAAGAAGCGATCGAGCGGAACCAGGGCTCCAAAGTCTTTGCCAGATATCTGTCTGCCAGAAAGAGCCAACTGTCAAAGCTGAAGACTGAGTTTGACAGCATCGTTTCCGGGACACCTGAGATTCTGAGTGAGATTGAGAGGTTCTATGGGCAGCTGTACACATCATCGTTGGAGCCACACGCAAGTGTGAGTAACGATACAAGAGCAAGTCTTACCCGACACTATTCCGATGATATCCCGGACGTCAGTCTGAGTGAGATTAGAATGGCTCTCCAGCACCTTAAAAACGGCAGGGCCCCAGGCGAGGATGGAATTACAGCGGAGCTTCTGAAGGTGGGTGGAACACCGGAACTTGAAGTCCTTCAGAAGCTCTTCAATTCCGTCCTCCATGGTGGCACTACTCCGGAGGCGTGAAGCAGAAGCGCGGTGGTCTTGTTCTTTAAGAAAGGCGACAACGCTCTCTTGAAGAACTACAGACCAATTTCCCTTCTGAGCCGCGTCTACGTGCTGTTGTCGAGAGTCATTACGAATCGTCTCACACGCAGACTCGACGACTTCCAGCCTCCCGAACAAGCCGGTTTCCAAAAAGGCTTCAGTATCGTAGACCACATATATACCCTGCGGCAGATTGTACAGAAGACCGAAGAGTACAATCTGCCACTTTGCCTGGCGTATGTGGAACTATGAGAAAGCCTTTGATTCCGTCGAAATTTGGGCGGTGCTACAGTCCCTTCAGCGGTGCCAAGTTGACTGTCGGTATATCGAGGTCGGTGTTGAAGTGTTTGTACAGTAGGGCTACGATGGCTATCCGAGTACAGAACCAGGGTTCGAAACCTATCCAACTGCAGAGAGGTGTAAGACAGGGTGACGTTATATCCCCGAAACTCTTCACCGCTGCGTTGGAAGACGTTTTCAAGCTACTGGACTGGAAAGAATACGGTATTAACATCAATGGCGAGTACATCACTCACCTTCGATTTGCCGACGATATATTCCTTATGGCAGAATCGCTGGAGGACCTTAGCACTATGCTCAATGACCTCAATGGTGTCTCCCAACGGATAGGTCTTAAAATGAACATGGACGAAACAAAGATTATGTTCAATGTCCATGTCACACCTATGCCGGTAGTTGTGGGGAGCACTATGCTTGAAGTTGTTGACGAGTACGTTTACCTGGGACAAATAGTCCGACTAGGTAAGTCCAACTTCGACCGAGAGGTCAATCGACGGATTCAACTCGGCTGGGCAGCGTTCGGGAAATTACGACACATCTTCTCGTCAGGTATACCTCAATCTCTGAAAACTAAAGTGTACAACCAGTGCGTGTTGCCAGTGATGAATTACGTATCAGAGACGTGGTCCTTCACTACTGGCCGTATGAGGACGCTCAAGGTTGCTCAGCGAGCTATGGAGAGGGCTATGCTCGGAGTTTCTCTGCGTGATAGACTCAGAAATGAGGATATCCGCAGTAAAACCAGAGTGACCGACATTAGCCCAACGGATTAGTAAGCTGAAGTGGCAATGGGCCGGCCATATAAGCTCGAAGAACCGATAACCGATGAGGAAGAAAGGTTCTCGAGTGGCAGCCTCGTACCGGTAGGCGTAGTGTAGGGCGACCCCCCACTAGATGGAGTGACGACCTAGTAAGACATGCAGGAAGTCGATGGATGCAGGTGGCTCAGGACCTTGCTTTGTGGCATTACTTGGAGGAGGCCTTATGTTCAGCAGTGGACTTATGAAGGGGTGTAATGATGATGATGATGATGACATCACTCACATTCAATTTGCCGACAGTTTAGTCCCTATGGCAGAATCTTCCTTATGGCTGAGTACCTCCTATCGGATAGATCTTAAAATTAACGTGGATAAAACAAAGATCACGTATAACGTCCATGTCACGCCTTTGACCGACTTAGATCACCATTTAGTATGCTGAAATGACAATGGGCCGGCCATATAGCACAAAATCCAACAGGAATTCGTTGGATACAGGCGGCTTAGGACTACTGTGTACTAGTCCTTATGGAAGGCCATGTTCAGCACTAGACTTATGAAGAGCTGTAATGACGATGGTTACTTACTCAACAAAACAGTAATAGAAAACTTATAAAACACGAAGCGTACATAATATATAGAGAGATATTTTCAGAATCGAATCATTAATTTTGGACACCTATAGGCAAGCAGATTGGCAAAGCAGATTATATCGCTCTGATAAACCCCTTGTTCGTCATTAGTGATTTGAAAAATTGGTTCAGTGGTTTTAAATATATTTTCGCCACTTGATGGCAATCGTTGTGGTAAAACTTAACATGTTTTTTTTATAGACTAGAAAAGTAAAAAAAAAACGCGTACTCGTTAGGATTGATGATTTTTTTTATTGAATATGGGTGACTAATGAGCATACAGACCATCCGGATGGTAAGTTGATACTGTGGTCCATGGACATCTACATTTATTCTGAATGTGGAAACAAAATGGAGATAAATTGTCACCCTTGAGATCTGAGATGGAATGTCCCATTTCCAGTAAAAATAGTCTCCGTTTCTCTACATTCACAATACTCATCACTAAGCTGCTATTTGACGATGGTAATTTTTTATTTATTTTTTTAAATCTTTATTGCGTCCCCTTAGAAAAAAAGAATACAAAGGGCCGACTGAATGCCTAAAGGCATTCTCTACCAGTCAACCCATGGAGTCGTCAGAGTTTGTCGTAGGTGTAACAAATAAAAGAAAAGAAGAAAAAGAAAAAGGAGAATCCAAAATTAAGGCACATTGTATTCGTGAGAGCGTTGTCTTACCCCGGTCGAGCCGACCCATTCGTGCTACAACCATAATAAAGCTGCATCGTGGCTCTACAACGTTTAAAAATGCACATGCACACAAAAATAAATCAAATATTTATAATAGAAGTGTGATAAGCTAGCACTCAGTTCACCTAATGGTTTTTTGATGCTTTGACCCATTGATACCTTTATTGCAATTCGGTCGATTTCGATTTCTTTATAGGATAGGATGACAAACGAGCACATTATAGTCCACCTGATGGTAAGTGGTTGCTGCGGCCCATAGACATCTGCTCTTATATCTATCCTCGATTACGAATTTAAACGCAGATGCGTTGTCATCCGTGAGGACTTAGATGAAATGCCTCGTTTCCAGTAAAAAGGGTATCCGGTTCTCTACACTCACCATACAAAACACAGCAGCATTAATCAAATCGAAATTGAGATACATTGTTATACCGTAAGGTTAAATGCAATGTGTTGTTAACAAAAAAAAAATCACATTTACGTTGTTTTAGTTGGTTAGCCAAGTGGCATTACCTTTATGCGCGCTATATTAACTATCTCCCTAAATAACACGTATTATGTGTGATTGGTGGACGTATTTTATTTATTACATTAATTTAAGATTCCGTGGATCCAACAGTGGATCGCTAGAGGCTCATTACTGAGATGAGCATTACACGTATAACCTATACATTGAACCTTCGCCTAGATGGAGGACATTTTAATGAGGTGTGTAACGTACTAGCGTGATCGTCATAAAGTTTTAGCTGATACTAATCAAGACACTTTTATACAAGAGTACGTGTTTGTCAAGTACGTCGTTCGCTCAATATTTGCTTAGATATCAAGACATTTTAGTATTTTTTAGCCCAGCGACTGCCTGGTGGTAAGCGCAACTGTTGATCTTGTGGTAATTAATTCGTATTTTGGGTCGGAGTAAAATCAGTTAATTGTTTTTTCTGTCAGGAAATTTTTAGTAGAAATAAATTCCCCCGTACCTCGGAAAGCAATGTTGGTTCCGCTCTTTTCTCTTTCCAATCTCTTTTTAGATATATCAGGTTGTCATCCCACTGGACGATTAGAGAGAGAGAGAGAGAGAAGAGAGAATAGAGAATGCAACTAAGTTTGAGTACACACTTGTGAATTATATTCCTATCCTATGCAAATAACTAGTTTGCGTTTAGAATGCCGTGACCAAAATGCGGTCTGAAAGGCAATTGGTATTTAGCCCGCTTATGTTACATGTATTGTTAGTATGTTATCTTACCTGGGTAAGCATTCCCAAAAATGGCGTATATGGTAAGAATTTGAAGACCCATGGATAAAAATGAGTTACAAATCCCTCGTAAAGGCTTTTATTGGGATAGCAGGTCAGAGCTCCAGCAAATGCTGATAATAAGGAAAGGATATGTTCGACTGAAACATAAAGGAAAAACATTTAAATCAAAACTACAATTTAAAAGATAAATAAAAGTAGTTTTAACATTTTCACTGTAAATAAAACATGAAAATCAGCCAACGTGTTCGATAGATACGACAAGCTTTAGAAAAACTCGCTGATTGCATAGGGAGAGAAACTAAAGTCAAATTATCTGTTTTGCGTGAATAAACAGCCACGACTTATTATAGTTAATTAATTTTAATTTTATCAAAGTGACTTAAACTTGTAAATTAAAAAGTTATTAAACGCTGTAAAATGCTTAAAATCATTTATATTTTATTCTATAATAAGAAATATAAGAAATCATTAAGGCATAGCTTATTAAAACTTTACACACGTCTCATTACTAAAGTGATTACCACGAGCTTGACTGTAAAGTAAAATATCATGAGAAAACTTGCATGTATGAGGAACTTTGAGGTCATTTGCAGTCCGTCAGCTTGCACTGGATGGAGCAGTGTCGGACTGTTTGCTGCATAAATCTCTTAAAAATAAAATTATAAATTCAGCTAGAAATAACTTATATATTTATTTAAACATACCCAAAGCTAAAAACAACACAACTGTGCAAGTTATGTTACATCTGTATGTGACATTGTGATCAAAGCTTGGATCTATTTCTTCAACCAATGATATATTTCGAACAAGCTTAGGCCAGTTTCTAGCAACACGAAAGAACGTTATCATAGTTATGCAGGTCGTAGTGTAGAAAATGATGGGTGCTAAAAAATTATTGATTTAAATAAATCATTAAGGTATCATTTTTATTTTATACTTCATATAATTATTTTGTGCCAGTATTATTAAAACGTAAGACATAAGAACAAAATGTATTACTTGTCACACTCAGAGTTGTCTCGGAATGAGTAACTCTAGTTATACACATGATCACCATGAATACTTGACCAATTAATGACAAAAATGCGTACATACATTTCCAGGACGACCAGTCAAATCTGTAACACATAAATTTATGAATTTTAAATTGCCTTTGTTTTTCATGCCAGTCGTTAAATTTGAAAGAAAAAAATGTTATGTTGACAAGCTGATTTGCGATCGTAGTGCTAGACGTTTCCCAGCTTTTACACCTTTTCCCATCATATTGACGAATAATTTAGCTTCAACATTAATTTATTTATTAATTTATTACAGTGTATTCTATTGAAGCCTATATACCGTGTAGTGATGAAGTAAGAATATCCACTGTCGCATATCGTCCTGTGGTTGTTGCTAGAGGCGACAGAGAGAAAGGATTAAAAATAAAATACTGTGGTTTCCAACCGGCCTGCCAAGCACGGTAACATTGAAAAATATCCCCTTCCTGAGGGAGGCCTATGTTCAGCATTGGAGTTTCTATAGGCAGTAATGGTATACGATAACGATAAACGGTTACCGTTATCATTACCATAACAGTTAATAAGGAAGTCATGCCCATATCCTCGTTTCTTTCTCTCGTCTGTTAAAAACCTACGGTAAATATGGAGTAGTGGATATACTTTCACCCAAAGAACGCCGAATTCCATGTAGTGGTATCGTAACAGAAACGGTCACCCAATTTATTCCCCTGGGTGTCGTAAGAAACGTCTATGAAAAATGCCATAAAGAGCTCATGATTTTAAAAATATCGCGGTGTACCATCTCGTATATAAAGAAGTATTTTTAAAGACCGACGCAGCGTGGAAGGTGTTGTACATTATTTGTTAATGTATTCATCAACCTTTACCTATCATGCGTAGCGAGTAAGACAGTTCCATTCTACAAGAGGAAGTGGCCTTTTCCTAGCAGTGAACTGTTAGGGACTGATAAAGAAAAAACAAGGTAATCGATATTGCTTACGTCAATTTGAGAATTTTTTTACAAATTCACCCAAAAATCCTAATTATTCTGAATCCAAACTTAACAGAAATAGTATTACTAATGTTCCAATCACAGGCTGCTGGTTCAACGGTCATCAATCCACGTATCTAGTTTGGTTACTATGAGCAAATGATTAGGAGACCATATTATGTGGATTGAGAAATTGGGTACTGCATTAGGTCCGCCTGGATACAACATTCTGTGTGTATAAAATTGTATAAATAAGTAAAAACTAAATTAATTTTACAGGTGTACCCATAACATTAATTTGATATTTGAAGGTCTCCAATTCTTGTGGTGTAGCTTCTACTACACAGTACTCCTGCAGAATCACGTAAAGTGAGAATCTTGATAAAAAATAAGTATATTGAAGCTAAATGACAATCAGTCAAATATATCCGTTTTTTTTCGTATAACATTCAAAACAAATGTTTACATGTAATTTTATTACTTTTTCCACATTTTTATCTGAATTTGAGCTTAATTCAAAATTACAAGTTTTCAGCTCATCGGGAATTTAGTTTAAAATTAGTTACTGAATTCCACCCGGAACGACAGACAAAGAAGAAAGTGACAATAAAAACGAGTTAAAAAGGAGCTTCTTTTTAAATTCAAGTAAAACAAAAACTTTTAAAAACCTGTTCATGTGAAATATGGTTTAAAACTTTTACAAAACTTTACAAGTGCGATATAATAAGCACGGCGGTTACTGTTAAAGTCAATCAAAGTACATTACTGAACAACGGTCTCCCCGTAGATTGCCTAATTGGAGGGATATTCGATTCACTGGCACTGCGAAGAGATGTTGCATCTCTTTGCATTTTCTTTCGCATATACCATGGAGAGTGCTCTGAGGAATTGTTCGGATTAATCTCAGCCGCCAAATTTAGTGTACGCACTACGCGGCAAACGTCCCGATACCATCCACACCATCTGGATGCTTGGCGGTCCACCACTGTACGTTTCAAGAGGAGTTTTCTTCCGCGTACAACCTCTCTGTGGAATAGTTTACCACCAGCGATTTTTCCGGACCGATACGACCTGGGGACCTTCAAGAAAAGAGCGTACTCCTTTCTAAAGGGCCGGCAACGCACCTGCAATTCCCCTGGTGTTGCAGTTGATCATGGGCGGCGGTAGTCGGTTAACATCAGGTGAGCCGCATGCTCTATTGCCCCCTATTCTATAAAAAAAAACTTCTATTACTTATTCTTTTTCATTAGAACCCTAAAAACCTACCGCTGCAAAAAGGTTTTCCTAAAGCCCTGCCCAAGCCTATAAGAAGCTCTAATACTGGTACTGACTCATCTACAGTTATCAACTCTGAGCATGTCTCAAAGCCCGTCTATTCATCCGGTAAGGGCTTCGCTCTGCATCGCTCTACAGTGCATTAGTTTGCAAAGTAACTTATAGTAGAATAATAACAGTCAAATTTGCTGGGTGGGTGTGTAGAAAGGGAATATGCACAGAAAAGATTTATACGATTTCTAATATATGGAGTCACGTACTGGTAAAAATGCAGGAAGTTGATGGATGCATGTAACTCAGGACTGCGTATATTATATATACGCGGTCCTGCATATCCTCCCACATATGATCAGTAAATTACAATAAACCTATTACTTAATATAGGCATTTCTTCGTATATTTAGCGATGAAGTTGTGAAGGGCTATAATGGTAAGGAATAATTATTTACTGAAATTGCTTACCGAACATTGGCAGCTATTTTACTCATAACACCATTTACTGGAAGTAGGGAGAATGCTTGTCCAATAATCAACGTTGCCCGTAGTGTTTCTTGAAATGTATTAGGAGATAGCTGTGATTTAGCTTCAGCTACATTTATTTTGTTTTCTGTAACGATTTTGATTATCAAGTTAAGCCATGTGGTTACATTTTCAAAAACTTCTGGAACTATGAAATTTTTCAAAATAGGAATGGTATTTGACACAAAAGAAAAAACTTACAACTTAAGGCTTAATTTTATATTTTTATTTATTTTATTTAATATTCTTTAATAATTTAATAAATGTTTTCATATAAAAAAATTACTAATTATATATACAAAAGAAGTATGCAATGGGTCTTATTGCTGATAGCAATTTCTACCAGACAACCAGTGAATGGACAGGATTACACAAAAATGACAAGGGTAGGGCACATTTCTGTGATAAAAAAGATATATATATATATCTATTTATATCACAGATATATATATATATATATATATATATATATATATATAACAAAACATACATAGACTACAAACATATATACATACAAAAAATAAATATATCCTATACCTGTAAACGAGCAATGTGTATATACACATATAATCGGAATCTCGGAAACGGCTCCAACGATTTTCATAAAATTTAGTGTCCAGAGAGATTCGGGGCAATAAATAAAATAAATCTTGGGGGAGGGATTTATTTTTAGAAAATGTCCCTTTGTCCGTGTTTTCAAGCAATAAAAAAACTGCTACAATATCGTTAGAATAAGAAGGTAAATTTTGACAGTTTATTAATGATTACAAATACCTTAATTGGTATATTGGGCGGTCACAAAATCGTAATACCATGGTTCGAGCCCAGACCGACCGACCGACTTTTTTTTATTTTTTTTCAAGTTCCTATCTTTTTTGAGAAAATCTATTTTTTCGAGACCTTTTTTAGTATTTTTATAAAAACACGAAAATTTAAATTAAACTAATTGCACTCATGATTTTTTATTCAAATAACCAGTTCAGTTTTTTCTATTATGTCGCTATGATCAAAAAATATTATTCGTATTTCATCAGTATGTAATTTGTATCTAAATATAATTTCCAAAACACACGAATTAAAAAAACCGAGCGTAAAATACCGAGCAAAGCTCGGTCAACAGGGTACTATTTAATTAGTTAACTAAATGCAATCAATATATTACATATTATATTATATTATATTAAATGGCTAGTGTGGGAGCGAAGTGCAAGGTAATGGTTCTTTACTAGTTTTTTAAAAACCGGTAGAGATGGAGCACGTTTGACTGCCAATGGGAGTTCATTCCATAAACGAACGGCCTGTACAGTAAAAGACTTGTTCATAGTGTGTAGTGGCATATTCAATTTCAAACTCTCTGCTGATCTCAGGTAACGCGAATGGGAATCACGAAGAAACTAAAAACGATTTTTGAGGTAAGAAGGGTAAGAATGATTGAAGAGAATACTATAGAGAAGATGAAGTATGTGAACATTCCGATGAAGTCGTATCGACAACCACTTGAGCTTAGTACGAAAAAGAGAGACATGGTCATATTTGCGTAATCCAAATATAAACCTAATACAGAAATTCTGAATTCGCTCAAGTTTGTCAAGCTGAGATTCGGTGACATCTAGATAGCTGACGTCCGCATATTCGAAAATAGGGAAGAGAAGGGACTTGGCAAGCGCAGTTTGGTGTATATTGGAAGAAATTTACGTAATCTACGCAAGGAGGCTGCAGAGGCATAAACTTTACGGTGAACCTCTTTGATTTGATGGTCCCATGACAGATTTTTATCCATGTGAATCCCCAAGTTCTTCATTGAATCTCTGTAAGGGATATTAGTTTTATCATATACTATTTGGGGTAGGTGATCAACTGATAACTTATTCAGTATTTGCGCGCTACCGATGATAATAGTTTGTAATTTAGCTGGGTTAACGTGAAGGCCGTATTCTTTACTCCACTCGAGAATTCGTTCGAGATCTGCATTAATGACATTGATAGCATTGCGGTGATCGTCGGGACAAGCTTTAGTATATATTTTCAGATCATCTGCATAAAGGTGGTAGGAAGAAGTTAAATTA